AGGGGTTCCTTATGGGAGCATGGGTGAGGAATTCCTCATGGGAACATGGGTAAGGGGTTGCTTACAGGGTGTGGGTGAGGGGTTGCTTACAGGAGATTTAGTGAGGAGATACTTGCAGGAGTACTAGTGAGGAGGTACTTGCAGGAGTATTTATTAGTGAGGAGGTACTTGCAGGAGCACTAGTGAGGAGGTACTTGCAGGAGCACTAGTGAGGAGGTACTTGCAGGAGTACTAGTGAGGAGGTACTTGCAGGAGCATTAGTGAGGAGGTACTTGCAGGAGCATTAGTGAGGAGGTACCTGCAGGAGTACTAGTGAGGAGGTACCTGCAGGAGCATTATTGAGGAGGTACTTACAGGAGTACTAGTGAGGAGGTACTTGCAGGAGCACTAGTGAGGAGGTACTTGCAGGAGCATTAGTGAGGAGGTACTTGCAGGATCATGGGCAACTTACCTGCACCACTGAAGAAAATGTAGAGACTTGGATTTCTTTTTTCTTCTTTTAAATTTGTCTTCTTTATTGATTCTTTGGGAGTTTCACATCCTGTACCCCAATTCTGCTCACTCCCAGTCCCCCCTTAATCCCTCCCTCACCCCTGCAGTGCCCCACACCAAAGAAAACAAAACACAGTAAACAAGCAAGCAAACATAAGAACAAAACAAACAACAAACCTTTGCTTCTCCTTCTTTCCCGACTCTCCAACACCTCTTGATTTGTCCTGATGGCATTGAGGGCCTTGGTGTCTCGCATGGTACACCCTTTTGTCCAGTCAGCTTTACTAGCAAATGTTATTACGATGAGTCGCCAGTCTGGTTCAAGGCCTCTGGTTTCTGGTCCACCGTCATCACTGGATCCTCACCGGAACTCTTCTGGAATATCCTGTGGCCGCCCCGAGTCTTGAATTTCTAATCAATGTTATCCAGTGTTCAAACTTTCTGGGCCAGTTGGTTGGACTTTATTGACAACAGCACAGTGAGTATTCCCAAAAAGATTGAGTGATGGCTTACGTACCAATTCTAATGAGAATATTGCAAAGTTAATTCTGGCAGCATACGTTAACATGCTCGGGTTCACTATTTTAGTGACGAGTCAGAGACATTTCCTTCGTAAGTCAATAGATGCATAAAATAAAACATGATGTTGTCAGAGGGATGTTGACATCGGAGGCAACTCAAATTAACATGTTTAAGAACCTTATGTATCAAATTATCACCCCTCCCAGAAATCCTTGCACGGTGCACATCAAACTGTATGTACAAGACACCCATACTTCACATTAAACACACACACACACACACACACACACACACACACACACACACACACACACCTAACT